GTAAGAGTGCTTATTTCCAGGAAAAAAAAAAAAAAAAAATTGGTTCAAAAGGCAGTCAGTTGGAAGAAAAGAACTAAAAATCCCGGATAATCTATAAACTGTCCAGTTAGTCTCTGAATAAATCAAGACGTAGTTTTGCATTAAGAAATTAGAAGCATCGGGGCTTCCCTGGTGGCACAGTGGTTAAGAATCCTCCTGCCATTGCAGGGGACACTGGTTCAATCCCTGTCCGGGAATATCCCACATGCCACGGAGCAACTAAGCCCGTGTGCCACAACTACTGAAGCCGCGCACCTAGAGCCCGTGCTCTGCAACAAAAGAAACCACAGCAATGAGAAGCCACGCACCACAACCAAGAGTAGCCCCCACTCGCAGTAACTAGAAAAAGCCGGCGCACAGCAACGGAAGACACAACGCAGCCAATAAATAAATAAATAAATAAATAAATAAAATCTATTTTAAAAAAAAGAAATTAGAAGTGTCGTCTCCAACTTGTGATTTCTGTAAACATTGGATTCGACCCAAGCTAGATTTATAAACAGATAACAAAAGCCAGAATAAGTGGAGGCCTGAGGAAATGTCACCTATTCTGAATCACTTCCAAATTTCAAGAGAGGAATAAGACGTTGGTTGGGGAAATGGCAACTTTCTAACCTCTGTGCACTGGTAAGGTACTGGCCAGAAAAACTCAGAATTATGCTGGAAGAAAAGCCCACTAACAGAAGAACAAAAGAAAAGAAAGAACATATTTATGCTGCAAAGTTAAAACATCACATGAGCTTTTCTGAAACACTCTAAACTTAAAAAAGCAGGCCTACAAATGTATTCCGAAGCTTTTAAGCGTAGGTTAATATGTTCCATGTGCCATTTTGAAAGAATACTGTGAGAAATAAGCTATCATTAAAAGTACTTGTAAAACTTGTAAATATCTCCACATCTACTCATTTGATTTTTTAAAACACTAATTAATTCAGCCTTATAAGGTTTAAGAGGAAATGTAGTGTTTTGTTTTGTTTTGTTTAAACAACCGAAGTTGCCAGTAACATACCACACTATTTGTGATAAACACTTCAGTTTCATGGAAGAAGCCAAATCTAATCATAGGAAAATGAGCGGTTATGGAGAGAGAAGCTGAGGCTTCAGGAGGGAAAAGGCTATGGCGGGAAACACTTGTCATACCACGCCCCCTACCATCATACCACCAGAAACACAATTACATGTCTGGAAGCCTTGCTCCTTTTAAAGAATTTCATCAAGAAGTTTTCATAAATCCCTGGTAAATCTGTGACTGGGCATATCAATAGAATGAAGGAGATATAAAATGAAATCACTACATACTAAGCTCAAGAAATCCCAGAAGACCATAATAAAGTTAAGATTTGTCTATCTACCTTTCAGTAATGCGGCCTGAAATGTGGCTTACAACCATTCCAAAAAATAAGACAAATCGGATAACCCAGTTTACCATACAAATAAACCATAAGAGGTCCCAAGACAGATACAGGCCACAGGGGTTAACAGTAGCTAATAATGACTATGTTTTTGAAGGGGACTGGAGGGTGAGGGGCCAATGAGTTACCACATAGACACAACATGAGTTGTCAATCAGCTTTTCAAAACGTTGGCATGTGTCTCCCATCTACAAGATATTCATTCTCACTATTGTGTTTGTGCCTTACTTTCAAATGTATTGCTGCCAGGCCCCAGTAGTGATTATCAAATGCACTTTTACTGTATGATTTTGTTTTCTAAATAAGCAGACAAAAAGACTAGTAGATGGCTAGTGTTGTTTATGATAGTCTCTCCCATACACAGTTTTATCTGACATGCTAGTCTCTAATCCTCTGGCCATATTTTGAAATAAAGCACAAAGTTAAATGATATATTTGCTCTCTATTCCAGACTGGATGCAACTGATTTTAACTGACTAAATTATCTGATCTCTGCCAAGAATTTTATTTCATTAAGAAAATGATATTATAGAGCATCTGAGATCATAGAGCAGACTAAACATAATGCCAAAGGAGTTCTGAGAATGCTCCACAGTGAAGGTTTGATTATTTGCAGATGGAATATGAAAAAAAGAAAAAGAATCAGATCCCGGGCATTAGCCTAACCAATCCTGGTATCACTGCTGCCGACATCACAGCACAAAGCCAAGAAAATAACTGATCTTCTAAGCCACAACACCTTTTTTTAATGTACTAATCACTTTTCTTCCTAGAAAGTAATACTTAACTGCCACTATCCAAAACAAAGGGAAAGGGGGAAATGTTGGTACCACAATAGGCTCTAGCATGTCAACTGTCACTGCTGACATGATTTGGCTAGTAGTCAAGCATTCACCAAGGAACTAATTTAAATCAATCTCCTTTGGGAAAGCCAATTGTTTGGTATGCGCAACAATTGGTGTAGGATCAATCAGTGGACATGAGATCAATTAAAACCAGCTTAAGCCTGTGAAGAGGGACAATTCACACAACCTGAGTTAGATCTCTATTCATTTCAATACTCTCACAATGCAATCCTTAAGCTTCCTTGCAAAGCAGAAAAGCTACTATCACCCTACACTGTCTAGCCAGCACTTTAAGTAGTTCCACTTTTAATTAAAAACACAGTACGCCCTTTGTTGGTACAGATAGTGTGGTCACTTTTAAGGGTTGTAGTTATTCTAGCCAGAAGCTTGAGATTTGGGAAGGGACACCCGTTAAGGAAAACACACACATTTTGATATAATTTTTTCTTTACAACCTTACCAGTTTACATGTACTTGAAAGCATTTGAATTTTATTAAATTGAAAGGTTTGTCTGGCAAAAGTTACTACTGCACACTTTAGAACTGGGTTTCTAAACGTCAGCACTTGGGGATGTGGTGGTAACTGCCATGAGATTTTGCTAAAGCAGCTTTGAAACAAATAGGTTTTGCGTAAGCTACCTAAGGAGGTATAGGCAGAACTTTGGAGATGGCACTGAAAAGGAAAGCATGCAGTATCGCTTCTGGCCGCAGGAGTGCTGTAATGTCATGTTCCACCAAACAGCATCTCTGCATTAAGTTCTACTAAAGCAACATGCTTGATTCTTCCCAATTCAACCACAATGGGGCAGGCAATGTGGATCAGAAAGACATCGCTGAATTAGCAAGTCATCGAATAAACAAGAATTTGGCAAAGGATTTTAGATATTTTGTATTTTGAACATTTTAAAGCACTTTAGTCTTTTCAGCCAAATAGGCTGCAGTGTCTACTTGGGGGCAGGGGGTGTAGGGTGTAGAGAAGCCTCTCCAAACACTTTGACCACTTAGACCACAGTGTAATCAAAAATTGCCAGCTCTACCTAGTGATACCTGGAAAGAAAATACCGGAGTGGAGAAAGGAGGCAGAGAGGAGGTGAAGGAGATGGGAAGGGACTTTGGCAAGACTGATATCAGTATGAAACTTTCATGGCCTCTGGGAAGAAATTCCTCCCTAGTACATTTATTCGGAAAAACTTCTGAAAGTAAGCATTTTCCAAATGTCAGAAATGAAAGACAAGGAGAGTAAGAGAAATGAGGGCGAGAGAAAGGGGTATCCTTCTCATAAACCACAGCTCCATAGTGTCAATTGGAGAGCAGAGGCGGCGGAAATCGCACACCACCAAGTTACCCTGAGTTCTGCCTTCTGGCCGGCCAACCTTCAGCCCTGCGGGTAGGTGAGAACAGCTTAACGACGTCCCAAAAAGCTTTGAAAAATTAAGGCGCAGAAAGCTCTCTCCAAAATCTGGATGCAGGACTGGAGATTCCATGAAACGAGTTGTAAATAAACCGCATCACAAGTCGAGCGAGATGTTCATATCCCAGAAAAATCAAAATCTGTTAACCTCAAGACAAATTCTAACTGCGCAAAAGTCCAAACTGCACGACCAAGACGGATAAACTCTAAGAGGCTGCTGTGCACCTTCCTTGAGGCGGTATTGCAAGGTGGGGCTGTGCGTGCTGGGAGCGGGGGTGTTGCGGTTTGCGTTTAAATCCTTCAGCGGACTTAACAGTGTTTAGCAGCCCTTCCCCTAAAACGCAGTTGGACTAGCTGCAGCCGCAGCAGGACTCGGAGACAGAAATACGGGCGCACTGAATCATCAGGAAATCTAGCTTTCTGAAACCTTTCTGAAGGCTTCCACTCGCCTCCCCACAGTGCACACAGGTGATGGAGAGGAAGGAGGAGGTCAAAAAGCCGCAAGTGAGTTTCACTGAGCGCCGGCGCCTCTCTCAGAAGTAGCTGCTTTTGAGGGGAGTAAAGAGAGAGAGCAAAGTCGGGCCTGTCTCCAAAACATCACCCTGCAGGCAAGCGTTCCCCCCCACAAAAAACCTGCGCACGAGTTGCCGCTCAATGCGCTAAGTTCAGTACGTCATCCCACCTAGTCTTAGCGTCCAGCAAAAGAAATCAGTGTTGCTCTTTTCCTAGAAATGCAGGTCCTCCACATCGACTTGGTACCCCTCCCCAGCTCTCGATCCCACACGCGCGCGGAGACACAGACATACACTCACACCCCAACATACACACACACGCCGAGTAGTAGGCCGTGTCCAAAGCTATGTGGGGTCAGGACTTGGGGTGCACGTGGGTGGTGAATGTAGAGAAAGATGAGCTGCAAGGAAGATGGTTGAGAGGACTAAAAAGAAAAAGAACAAGAAAAAAGGATGCCAGGCTTAAAAAAAGGGAGAGAGAGACCGAAAGAGAGAAGAGTTCAGAAGTAGAAGCTCGGCAGTCAACGTGGGTACGGACCGCACCGCTCAGCCCTGAACTCCCGCAGGACGCCCGGCTCGCCGCGCGTCTCGCTCCGGCTCGCCGCGCCTTCTGAGCACGGAAAAGACAGAGCGTTCGGCAGAGCTCTGGAGACCGGAAAGCGGGGAGCGGTGGCGCGCAATGGCGGGGGGTGGAGGGCACGGTCCTGCCCACCTGAGCCCCTGAGCGAGCGCCGCCACCCGCGACCCCGACCCCACGCGCCTCCGGCAGGGTAGAACCCACCTCTCTTACTGCGTCTCCATCGATTGCCTTGGCAGTGGCTGTAATCCATACAGTTCAGGATGATGAGGGCAAAGGAGAAGAGACGAAACTGCATCTGGGCGGTCGGGCAGGGGAGAGACGCCTCTCAAAGTCGGGGAACTGGAGGGCTCATCCGAGGAGCCGGCGCCGTCCGCGCTGTTGAGGAAGACGCCGAGGGGGAGTCGCCACTAGCCCAGGGGGCTGCACTGGTCAGTTCGGCGCAACCAGCATCTTTCCGCCTTGAACCTGAGAGACGAGGAGGAGAAGCCGGTGGAGAAAGGCCCAGGGAGGCAGCTGCCTCTTCACGCGTCCCGATTTAAGAAGGGGAGGGAGGGGGGAAGCGAACCCACTGCCTGGCAGGAGCTGCGGGGCAGCTTAACCCCAAGCGCACAGCTGCCTGCAACTTGGAGAGGAAGGTGATTGCAATCAGTGAATTAGCAACCGCTGCAGACCTATAGGCTCCGACCCGGGGGAAAGGACTTTGCGCGGGCGCTCCGGGAAAGAAAAGAGCTCCACAGTTCCCGAGGGTGCAGGGTTAAAGGCGCGCTCTTCGGTCCTTTGGTCCCACAGTGGGGTACCCAAGTGCAGTGGTCGCGGTGGCCAGGCGCGGGTCGCCTACCGTGAGCACTTACGTCTCAGGCTGTGCGGCGTGCCTAGGCGCGGAGCTCCATCCAGGGCTCGGAAAGCGAGACGCCTCGCTAGCACGTGGGCTGGGGAAAAGTTTGCCGAGACCCGCCGGGAGCGCGTAGCAGCTCTGGGACCCCGGCGGCCGCCTTGGGTTCGAAGTGCCCGGAGGGTCCTCTGGACTGACCGCGCCTAGGAGCGCGGCGGGGCGGGCGGGTCCGCAGCCTCTGGGATGCTGCGTCCCCGCCGGTGAGTGAGATCCTACGGCAAGGGTTACGCCCGCTCTCACTCTCTGGGTCCCTGTCCAATTGTGCGGTTTCCAGAGCTCTCTCCACAGCCACTTCACAGCTAAGGTTTCTCCGTTTCCAAGCTGTGGGAGACAGAACGCTCCCGGGAGGCCGAAGGGATGGCGAGCTCACTTTCCGATGGAGATGCAGTCGGGCCGAGGCTCGGGATGCTTCTATAAGTAGGTGGTGCTGTGGTCCAAGGCAACTAAGTCAGGGCTGCCTCGGAGTTCCTGGGTCCTAAAGCCAGAACCTCTCCGGTTTCCCTGAGGTCCTAAAGAGCGCTGACAAGCCTCCAGCGGGCCTAACCCCAGGCGAATCCCCTCCCGGCTTTCCTGGAGTGGGTGGCTAAACTGAAGAGTAGCTGAGGTGGAGGTGCCCCCTGACTGTGCTGGCCTGACGGCCCAGCTGTCTTCACCCCCAAGGCCTCTTCTCCGCTGCTCCGGGGTCGACTCCAACCTCAGCGCCGACCTTCCAGCAGGAAGATCTGACTGACTGATGGCTTCTCCTAAACCTTCCTTTCCGAGCTCCCGGCCGGGACGGCTGCTTCTAAGGTGGCGTTTAAACTTGAGCCGCACCCCGAAAGATGCCACACCTCTGCCACTCTTAAGTTTTACGTCTTGGCTTTGCTGTACAGGAAGATGTTAGTTAGCAAGGCTGAAACTAAAACGCGTCTTCGGTTTAGGGAGTGAGAAGAGTATTCCAATACTTTGCTTATCCTTAGAGGCTGTACTTCTTGACTTTGTGTCTCCTCCAGAAAAACTTACAAACACCTTTGATCCCTTTCTTGGAGTTCGCTAGAAATTGGGGCCTTGGTTCTTCAAAGAAAAGTTCACTTTCTACTGAAGTATTTCTCATTCATAATCCTCCTCCCTCCCCCACCCTCAAAGTCTCCTGAATTGAACTTTTAGGTGCCTTGAGTTTGGGGAATACTCTGTTTAACAAAGTGTTACACTAAATACACTTACGCTATCTGATTTCATTCTGATGAAATCTTCTGTCCTGAATTCATTACTGTAGGAATGAATGTATTTACCCGCTAGGCAAAAGATAAGAATTTATACTGCTAAACATGGCAGTAGGAATGTTTGCCAATATGACCTCAGGTACCATATTATTATGCTAGCATTTTGTACCATTGAAATTTCTTTCTCTATGCCTTCAGTTTCAGAAGATGTTCAGAAGTTTGGAGACTTGAGACAATCATATAGAAACAACAAGAATATTAAAATAGTCATGTTTATTAATTGTTCCGTTAATGCCTATCCATAATTATTTTTATGGAATCATAAAAATACATACATTAGCAGTATTTATGTGCTAAGAATTTTAGTGTTATTCACTTTATGTATGTCTGAGAACACCCAAGTCAATCTGAGTTGAAGTCCCTGGTCCCATTTCCCAGATAAGAAAATTCAGCCCCTGAGACTGGCCCATAGGGCACAAGTAGAGTTGACAAAGCACATAACAGCAACAGTGGATCTGTTTCTCAGCTTTCAGAGTCTTTGATTTTTGTCACAGAATTTGGAAGTGATAGGAAACATTTCAGTTTAGGGAGTGGCCCAGCATTTGACATGATATTCCAGTGAATATCCCCCAATCATCAGAAATACCATTTCTCCCATACACTCACACATGCGCACACCAAATTTATTGCACTTCTAAAGGAGTTAAATCCATGAAAGAACAAAGTCCTCTATAAATAAGCCATCTACCTTTCTGTACAGCTTTGGGACTCATTTAAGGTTAGTGGTCATCAGTGTCTTTTAAAATATATAAAGACAAAAATAAGCACAAGACCAAGTAGATCTAGCTCTACCATTAACCACCTGGGTCATTTTGGGCAAGTCTCTGGATCTGTTTCCTTGTTAGTATTTGTAGGAAATTAGAACAAGATCTCTTTCACCCCTACCATGTTCTGGTTTACAATCAATTTTCCATTTCTATCAAGAAGTTTGCTACGGAGTCTAACAGTGTCAGGACAAACTCATCGTTGATGAGTTTTCAATATAGAAAGATGAGAGTTAGCCACTGTCATCCTTAAATTTACAGACCACTTTCAATCTCTGTCTTCAAAGGTTACTTTCCAAAATTTTAATCATTTGGGTTGCACTGATGGCATTTTTTAAACCAGAGATACTTTTCAGTTTAGTGAACTCCTAGATCCATTTCACAAAAAAAGAATTTTAACAGCACCACTTCTGCTGAAGATAGGTTAATGCTCTTAACAAGACAAGAACGGGCACTAGAAGTAAAGAAGATTCCTAATTCCTTTCTCCTTGTGCTCTCTCCTGGTCTGTCTGTGCTTTTTAAAGGACACCATGGAACTTCAAAAAGATCTGTCGCACTTAGTTCTTGGGGTACTCAGAATCTCACACTAAATCTCTTTGGGCTAGTTTGTTGATAAAGCAGAATTTTTTTTCCTTTTTTTTTTGCCATTCACTGAATATTTCTCCTGATTTCAAGAACCCAGGAATGTTCTTGTTACTAAAAAACACATCCCTGGTGGATCCTAAACTATCATTAACTTTAACCCCATATTTCTGTGTCCTTTCATTTCTAAACTGTGAAATTGTTGTTGTTGAGGCTCAGAGTTCACGGTTTCTCCATCTTGGAGGCTCAATGGGCTTTTTCTTCAAACTGAGTTTAGACGGTGGTTTCATTAAACTCGCTTTATAAATAGGCATGTGTCTGGTGTCTGTTTACAGAGAAGTGTGCTGACGAGGTTGACTTCATGCCATGCACTGGTGATAGAGAAGGTTAACTGAGTGCTGGTGGGGTGGCGGGGCGGGGGGGGGGGGGGGTGGGGGAGATGATGTTATAGATGAGAAGCAAGCTGCCTACTTTACTTTTTTGACTTGCGATTCATTCATACAGCTAAAATTCAATCATTAATAAAGGGCATACAGCCAGCCAGTTCTCCTCAGAAACAGCCAGTTATTCATGTACAACCTTCCAGGTTTTTAGTATACTTCCAGAGATATGTTGTGCTTATCAAGAAAATGCATGTGTATACACATATATATTCTTCACCCTTTTAGGCAACTAGTAGAATACTCTATTCATTAATTTGCACCTCGATTTTTTTCATGCATCTTAGAGTTCATTCAGTATCAGTTCATAGCAAATGTTCTTGTTTTTATACAGTCACCTATCATTTCATTGTATGGTTGTATTTAGCCAGGTCCCTACTGATAGACATTCAGATTATCTACATTCTTCTTCTGTTATAAGCAATGCTTCAATTAACCTTTTCATGGGTCATTTTAAATTTGTATTATAAATTCCTAAAAGTAGAAAAGCTGGATCAAACAGTTAGACATACTTGTGTGTGTGTGTGTGTATGTGTATCCTTAAAATTGCCTTCCACAGAGATTCTATCCAATTACAATGTATGAAAGTGCCCATCTCCCTATATACCGGCCAACGTGTTTTGATCTTTGATACTCCTAGGCAAAAAGTGGTATCTCAATGGTTTTAATTTTTATTTCTTTTCTTTTAAATGAAATTATGCATCTTTAATATGCCCAAGCAATTTATGTTTTATATATATAATCTTTTGTTATTTGAGTTGCAAATATTTTTCCAGGCTTATCATTTGTCTCTTAACTTTACTTTTGATGTATATTACTATGCTAAAACTTTTTAAATAATTTTATGTAGTTAAATTTGTCAGTCTTATCTTTATAGTTTCTATGTTTGTCTTACACTTGTAAAAAGTTATTCCCCATGCCATTCTTTTTAAGTTTTTATTTGGGATCTTTCTAAGATACTTTTTTTGATATTAAAAACCATAAGATGTTAGTGATTTTATGACAGTATGATGTGGCTGCAACAGAATAGAGTTTACATTTTCTAAATCTTTCCTGAGTATTTATGTTCACAGATTTGGTTGACTTTGGCTCTGACTCTCATCTTTATTAGCTAATTGATTTAGAGTTCTCTTATCTTTTATGTTATCAGATTCATACCCTCAGATTTAAAATTTCCCACAATCTTCTGATTCATTGTTGAAATCTGGTGGTGTCATACTTATTCTTCCAGTCTAGAATTTATCCGTTACTTACTTTGAAACAAATTATGGCATTTTTGTCATTGTATCGAAATTGATATTTTTTTTCTGTTAAATATAAGCTGAATGTCCATTTTGCTAGCTGCATGTGATAAC